CCTGCAAAATTGATAAAATTCACTCAATTTAAGAGTTYCTGGTTAGGACAAAACATCCCTTCTGCTCGAGGAATTCCACAATTTCCTAAATTGGTGCCTTTTGGATCTCCCTGGATTTTAGAGAACTTCATTCACAGTAGCTCCAGAAAAAAAAAATATTAATTCCATTTCAAAATTAGGGATGAAACAGAACTGAACAACACCTTTCCAATTTTCTGCGCAAAGGAAAACCCCTCAGGAGAGGAAATTTGACTTCACTGAGGGAAAAAAAAAAAAAATCTCCAGCTGTCAAAGAATTATTAATCCAAATTGTCACATAATTGGAGGATGAGAAAGAATTTACCACTTAAAAGAAAAGAAAAACAGGGTGAAAGTTTGACTTTGAAGGCTCAGCAGAACACAAAAATCTTTGTAAAACCAACACAAGAGAGCAGAAAATTCTAATTCCAGGGCTRTTACTCATGGTTTCTAGGATTGAGAATCCAATTTTGCCTTTTCCCAGGGATGTTTTTTTCCCAATTCTCTGCCAAATTCTCAGAATTTGTGTCTGAGAGGCTCAAATATTTGGATTTTGCTGCTGCTGAAATGCTCAGGGCTGAGTCACTGCTGAGTCAGAGCRAAGGCACAGCGCTCGCTGCCAGACCTGACACGGCTCTTTCCCAGCCAAAATTCCCTTTTCCCACAGGGAATCTTTTTTTTTTATTAATCCCTGGGCTGGCCAGGAGAGCTGACAGCTGCTCTTTGCAGCGGGGAAGGCTCGGAGAATAAATAAATAAATAAATTTGAGGAACTTCATCAGTGCTAATCTGTTAATTAATGCCTGCAGGGGACATTGGCAGCTCTCAGCAGGCACCAAGTGACCTCCAAAGGCCCTTTCCACCCAAATTTCCCTGGGATGGGAGAAATTTGGTGATTTACAATTTCAACTCTACTCAATTAGAGAAAATGCAGCAAAATAAATGGAGTAAATCACTGAATTTCAACCTTATTTTTCTTCACATCCCTGAAATCCCAGAGGAACTTTCCATCTCTTCCTAATAAAATTAACATCTCCAGAGGAATCTCCTAAAAAAAGTGAGTCCAGAACAACTTTATGATGTGAAATGAGACCCTAGAAAATGAAGATTAAATCATCTGTGCTACTTAAATATAAATCAAATTAACTTGGTTGCAATAAATACAAATCAAATGAAGTTGGTCGCAATAAATTCATAAAAGCAGTTGAATTATTTGCACACACTGTGTAAAAAAACTCTGAATTAGTACCAGAAATTAGTCAAACCCACTTTTTTTTGTTGTCACTGATAGAAAATAGAAAAAAAAAATAAAAGAAAAAAATTTTGTTTGCTCAGAAGACAGAAGGCAAAGGAAAATAAAACAAGAGAACAACCACATGAATAATCCTGTAAAAAATCCCAATTCAGCCCCAGAATTTCCTCAGCTGCAGCTCAAATGAAACCCTGAAAAAATGCCCAAATTCTGTCACTCGGGCAGATCCTCTTTGCACATTTCCCCTGCTGATTTTATATTTTGAAAGGGTTTTTTTTTGGAAGTTTTGTCCCAACCAAACTCCTCCAGAGGGTAAATCCCTGAGATTTGAGAACCAGGGATGGGATATCAGAGCTGGAATGTGCAGCGCTGGGAGGGGGAAGGGAGAGGCAAAAATGCTCTTTGGGAGAAATTCAGAGTTTGCTTCTCATTC